CACGTGAGAATTGGCTAAAGTTTTTTGACTATTTAATATCTATAAAATGTAAATTACATCTATATTTTTTGTAATATTTACATTATATATAGATTTATACATTAACAAGTCTTTACTATAACAATTTTAAATTACTGAAATTAATGGCTAAGGAAAAAATTAATGTTTAATGTTTAATGAGATAGTGTCATTATTTATCTTTTCTTCATACTTATTATTAAATATTACACTAAATAAAACGATACAATTTGATTTATGAATTTTTCTTTAGTCACTTCAGTAAAAATCATTTAATATGCAATCTTTTTTATAACAGCTCAGTAAACTATCTAAATTAAGCAGTCTATTCTGTATAATTAAATGATTAAAAATCGTAAATATTTCACAAATGTATATAACATATAGTATCCGCCATATTTGCACTTCAATGGTTTCTATAGTGACCATATTTAACGGCTTGACTACACTGTACTACTTTCAAGCTAGCGAACAATTGCAGTTAAGGGTACTTGTTTTACAAATTTTTGACAAATAAAATAACTATGCTATCTTAGACAAATATTTTATTAATATATAATAATAATTTTTTGATGATATAATTTATTAAATAAAAATATCACTTAATAGTTGCTGCTTTGAATGCATTCACGGTTATACGTGTATTAACAATTTTATGAATTTTAAAATTCATCTTACAGCTATTAATTAATTTTGTACGAAAAATATATTCATCTCTCGAGATAGAAAAAAAAATACGTATTTCGGGTGTAACTTGTAAACTGTATAATAAATTGTATTTACATTACAAACAGTCAATTAAGTAAGTAAATATTTAAGGTAAATGTCGAGGATTATGATTCTCTCATTGAATAATAGTTAAAAATTATGTTTGATTTTTCTTTTTTGTTTATTTAAAGTAGTTTTATTTATGTAAAATTAATTTCAAACATTTTTTGGATCTATAAAAATAAAAATATTTTGTTAAAAACTAGGAAATTTTATCATTACTAAGAACCAGACTTAAATTAAATTGTGTGAGGACTCATCATTTTTAGGCAACCCTAAATTTAAGTTAATTACCCTCAAAAATTTCTNTTAGGCAACCCTAAATTTAAGTTAATTACCCTCAAAAATTTCTCTCGTTCCCCGTAAATGGGAAATTTACAAGTTACAATTTTAAAAATTGCTAATTTTCGACATTTTTTCTTCTTTTTCTTTAAACTGTAATTATACTTCTTTATACTTTTTTATAGATATATTTACCTATCATTTTGTATATTTTTTTTTATAAATTTGAACCTTAACATGCCCACAAGGTGGGATTCAAAATGACAACTTTTTCAACTTAACTTTTGAAAGTGTTACAATACAATACTAAATATTAAATATCAATTTCATACTACATTTAGTAGATATTTATACTTATAAATGAACTATTAATTAGAAATTATGATAAAAATAAGAGTTAATTTTGTTTTTAGAATAATCAACCAATTTCTTAAAATTAAAGACTATCTACAGATTTGCATCGAATCGTTTTTATGATAGTGATTTTAATCACTGTCAGATATCATCTATACTGGACCCAACTATACCATGTCCCCATTGCGCTGGGGTTTTTTTTTTTATTTGTACTTTTTTTTTTTTTGCAAGTTATAATTTTTTATTCAACATAAATTTCCGAAAAAAACTACATATCTTGAATTCCTAATATTAAACAGAGTACATGTAAAATGCACTCAGATCTAAATCTTCATATACAAATAAACAACATAAGATTACAACAGACCCGAGAATTCTGCTACCTTGGAAGTATCATGGCTTTCAATAACAAATCAACACATGACATCAGAAGAAGAATAGTATTGGCAAAGCAAGCATTCCAAAACAAGAATCAGCTTCTTAATAATAAACTTCTGAGTATTGGCATATGTAAAAGATTTGTTAAGACATTTGCCTGTAGTATGCTTTCATAAGGCAGTGAAACATGGACAACTAACAAGAAAGACAGACGTAAACTAGAAGCATTAGTGTTATGGACATGGAGCAAAATGACAAAGACCAATTAAATGAGTAGACAAGAAAAGAAATGAGCAAGTAAGAGAAGAAAGACAGCTAATGAAGGTGATTGAATCAAGAAAAATAAAGTTAATTGGACATATCATCCGACATAATGACTTAATAATTAACATCTTCGAAGAAAAAATTACTAGGAAGAAACCAAGAGAACGCCTAATGAAACAAAATTTTGAAAATATCCTGTAACTCATGAACTGTACGTCTTTTATTTCACTGAAGAATTTGGCGTCAACAGAGAGGAGTGACTCCAATGATAAGGCATTGCCTTTAATAGATTATTATGATGAATATTAAACACAAAATTAAACTATTTTTGTTTAAAAAAAATTATATTTTATGGATATGAAATAAAGTATTTAAAACGATATTTACATGTTATACAAATCGTTCAATATAAAAAGACAATGTCTAAATTTTCGTAAAAACATGGAAATAATTCAATAGCAAAATTTTTATAAAAATATAAATACCTAAAATGTATGAATTTTTTATATACAAATTTGCTCAAATATCAATTCTTAGAAAATAAAATAAAGATAAACCTCAATATAACAATAATTGTTATAATAATAATTATTATTAGGTTTTGTTTTTTATTCTTGGTAAGCTATTTAGGAAGATGTAATTTTAAGAGGCAGACATTTTGCTTTAGATTTTCTTTTCCTTGTATTTTCGTTGCCTCCTACTTGATCAGGCCACACGAATCCCTATGTTCTATTTGTGCAGGCGGTGGACGTTTTTATTATTATTAAAAATCTAAAGAGTCTCGCAAGAGATTTATGTGAACGTTGCAGGGTGAAACGAGTCGTATAAGGATAAAATATATTGTTTTGTGTAAGCAAGTCAGAGGCGCGCGCACGTATGTCATAAATATGCGATGGACGGCATCGAAAACAGTAAAATATATTATTCGTTTTTTCCCCTTTAAGGATGGCAGTGGTAGTAATTCTCTGAAGTGACAGCAAGCCGCCAGTTTCATCGTATATCATTTAAGCCGGCGGCTTTTATTCCTATTGTGTATGCATTGCCATGCCGCTGTTTCCTCCAATAGAAATTATCCATGTTGCTAGTAAAACAAAAAAATATAAAGACCAACAATATTGAACTGAATCTATACTAATTTTTATTTTATGAATTTGTTTGAAAATTTATTTGGAAATTAATCGCATAATTTGTAACTTTTAAAAATAATTTCAAAAAATGTATTTAAATATGCAACAAAATTCATAGATACATTAATTTTTGTTACATAACAAAAACCATTAATAAATTACATATATTTTTATTATTGTAAGTTTACAAAATGTCAATATTTCATAATAATTGCTTAACTAAGGCATAAAAAAATTTATTAGAACTGTTTGTCATTTAAAATTATTCTATTCGAATATCGTTTAATAATTATTACAACTGGAATTTAACAATCAATATTTCAAAAATTTCACATTTTCAAAAGCTGCTTAATTTTAGATATTTTTTTATTTTATTTAAAATTAAAGGCGGTCATTTCAATTTTTGGATAAGATAAATGTCAGTCCAGTGAAAAATGCATTTTTATGGACAAAAAAAAACATTAATGTAAATATAACTCCATAGCTTTGTATCCCAGTTAAACATTAATTTGAACTGTTCGTAATTTAAACTGTTTTTAGTTGAATATCATTTAATTATCATTAGAATTTTATCGAACAAATAAAATTTATTAGAATATAATATATACACAAAATTAAAAAAATTATTTTTATTAAAAAGGAAAGCAAACACGGAATAAGATAATAAAAAATATGAGAAAATATGTATCAATAAATACATTTGGATAAATTTAAACATAACATTTCTAAATTATAATATGATTATCACAATACAAAATTTCTAATAATTTTTATAAAAAAATTTTAATTCAAAAGATAACATAATTAAAATATCAATTAATGCAACGAGTGTTCAAATAAACACAAGAACTAGTATTTGACTAATTCATAAGACATAATATATCTTTTCGTAATAATGTTGTTATTCGTGGGATTTTGTAAGATGTGACAATAATGTTGTAAATTGAATCAACATTGACTGCAACAAAGAAATATTATAAATTTTTGAGATCAATAATTTTTGTGGTTAAACAGAGTTTGATTTTTACACAAAACATTCAATAAAAATCGAAATGTTACCTTGAGTTACAATTATGAAATCATTACAATGGTTTAACTGAATTAATAAAAATTATTACACACCTGTGTTTTATTTTTTTTTTAGCTCAAAGTAATATGCTCCGATTCGAATGGAAGAACAGAACGAATGGTATTTTTGACGACAAAACATTCAATAAATAAATAAATTCAATAATATTCAATAATTCAATAAATTTCTGAAGCAAAATTTATCTTTTCATAGTAACGATCTTATTAATNAATCGAAATGTTACCTTGAGTTACAATTATGAAATCATTACAATGGTTTAACTGAATTAATAAAAATTATTACACACCTGTGTTTTATTTTTTTTTTAGCTCAAAGTAATATGCTCCGATTCGAATGGAAGAACAGAACGAATGGTATTTTTGACGACCAATAACCTTTAATTGAAAAGCACTTTATTTTAGAAAACAACAAAAGTACACATTCTCTCTTTCTAAAATCTCTATTTGCAAGCAATTGCACTTAACTAAAAATTACATATTAGTTAATTATAATCGAATTTTACACTTAATTACACAATAAATTCAATAAGAGTTCATATAAACACAAGAATTATTTTTTGCTGAATTTCTGAAGCAAAATTTATCTTTTCATAGTAACGATCTTATTAATGGGATTTAGTAGGCAGCAACAATAATGACGTAAATTNTAAATAAATTCAATAATATTCAATAATTCAATAAATTTCTGAAGCAAAATTTATCTTTTCATAGTAACGATCTTATTAATGGGATTTAGTAGGCAGCAACAATAATGACGTAAATTTAATTAATATTCAATGCAGCAATGAAATAATAAAGAGTAATGAGATCATTTTTTTGGTATTTATATAGTCATTTGTCTTAATATGTAAGTGCCAAAATCAACAAATGAAATATGTCAAATCAAAAATATTCTGAAATTACAACTTTTTTTTATAAAATGAACAAAGTGTTGAACAATTATCTCATGAGAGCCTCTTAGTCGTCATTAACACATCTGTAAATAAAAAAATAATTAAGTTAGTTTTTTGTAATAATTTAAAAATATTGATGTGTTACTTATCATATCAAAAGTAATTAGGAAAATTAATGGTATTTGATGTTATGATACTTTAAAACTGATGTAAATAATACTACTTTCAAAGTATGAAAATTAGTTTGTTTAACCAATTATATATGTCTAATATTTTTTTTTAATTAAAATGGTTTTATTTAATAATATTCTGGAACAAAATTAGCTAAAATAAAAATAATTAAATGTGTAGAATAGTTAACGTACTTGGCTGATAAAGTATAATTATGTAATAATGTAAAAAAGGCAAATATTATTTGAGATAAATTCTTTTAAAAATATATTGCTTTATAGTTATTATCATGACATACCTTTTAGTATAGCAATTACCAGAGCTTACATATAATTAAGAATTGTGTGATCTTGTAGCATTGCTTCATATTTTTAACTTTTCAATAATAAGTAAGAGATTACTAAAATATTAGTTATTATAACTCTTTAGTAAATTTAGACTAAATGTAAAGGCTTCTATTAATTTTTTTATAAATTCAATGTCCCAACTATAAAATCTGAAAATATATATGTACAATGAAATATCAGTTACTTATTTATTTTATTTTAGTATTAATCTCACTTTGAATAATTTGTCTTCCATATTAATTTTATATTTAAACACATAATTTTTAATTTATTTAGTAAACAACAAAACTGCATCACAAAATTAATTCCAACGTGTCTCGTTGGGTGTTATTAAATAAACACCAAGATTTTATTTGATTAAATCTGCTACCTTGGTCGAATACCCCTGTTTGTTTCACAATGCAGTTGACTTGGCAAATTTGATTTTGGATGGTTTTCTAGTAAGTAGCAATTTACGAAACTTTTTTAGAGTCCTATACAGATATTATTAATTAAACAAATAATATATTTGATCTAAAATGTTACTTTTTATTTTAAAATTTATATATTACATCAGCAAGTACATGACCACATGATAAATGTTACATAAATTTAAAATGTGAGCAAACCAACATGAATACCTTTATAGTTATTAATCATATTCATTTTAAAAAGATCCTACTTTAAATATTCCAAAATTAGAATCATTATCTATGTACATTATCATAATTTATCTGAATTTTCAAACTGTGTGTATACTTTATCTATAGCTTTAGCTGAAATATTATGTGTGTGGCCATTCTAGTCTTCTCTGTGCTAAAATACTTGAGCAGTTTTTAAAAAACCCTCTTTGATTAATGTGACTATTATCCCAATGTATGATGTAACAAAATACAATATTATATAACTACTTATAAAATCTTTTGATTATATACCTACACAAATAAAAAAATGTGTATTAATTACTTTTTAAAAATCTACTAACCATCTGCAGACGTAGCATTATGATCACGTTTGACATATCAAATTTAATTTCTAAGTATAATTCATGAAAATCATTCACGAAACTTTTTATTGGAGTAGGCCGAGGCATAAGTTTTCTATTGGAGAAACCTCATTCAATTATACTTTTTAAAACAAGATTTATAATTATTGAAAATGATAAAATAGCACTTATAATAAATTTTTGCAGTATCTGAAATCAAAATGATATAATACTTATAACATACAATATTAATTTTTTCAAAAAACTACGAGAAAAGTTTTTTGATTTAAGACAATAAAATTGACAAATAACTTTGTTTTATGTGTTATAAAGTTGCACTTTTGGAATTCTTTCAATTAGTGCCGATTAAGTACATAATAATATTTTCGTATATTAAAATTACAAGAATAGAATAACATGTAGAAAATCAATCAATAACAAAAATATAGCTATAAAACTAATCATGATTGTCGTCACCGATTAACTGTTGTCTGTGAAAAAAAAGATTAAAGCGTGTTAAATTTTATGGATGATGATCTAAAAATATTGGCATTATTGCAATGTAATTCGACGACAGCTCTGTATATTAAATTACAAACTTAAATGTAAAAGAATTTAACCCTCACTGTGTGGAAGTGCATGAATGTACGCTTATAAAAGTTACTCTAAATTTCATGTACAATAAGACAATATAGTTGGAATTGCTAGAAGGCTTTAACACATTCATAATTCGAACTATTTAAAATGCAATTTTTTCAAGGTGAAATGTTTAATTCATGTAATAAAGGATTTAATTTAAGGAATCAAAAAAGTATACATTCAATTAGTAATGGGTACGATAAAAATGTATTTGAAATATTTCTAATCAATTTGATACGTATCATATTTTTTAACGTGTATACTTGTAAGACTGTACTTCTAATAGTTTAATTACAATGTGTCATCCGTTGGATAGTATCGCGACGCAATACAAAAAAAAATTACACAAATTAATTAGTACTTTTAACGTCATGTTCGTCGTTTTGGTTCTTTTCGAGTCCTCCCGTTAAGTACACTTGTCAGTCCCAATCCCTCCAATTAATAAACCAGTACAGGGGTAGTTATTAGACTCGTCAGCACACGGTCTAGCTCAAAAGTATCAGACTGAAAGATGGCTCCTCGTTAGCCATCAGCACAACTATCTATTCACTATATGTACTAAAGGACGTTCAGAAACTAGTCAGCATAAACACTAATTGTTAAGATCGACTAAAGGACCAACAGTCCAACCTTGACTTTAGCCGCACACACATACGCACAATTTTAATAACACGGCGGATATAACATATTTACACCAAGTACATGTTTTGAACAGTTATTTTTTATTTACGGGACGTAAGAAACACAAAATCAAAATATAATACAACAATGTAACACAATTAAATCAATTCGAAATTCAAAGTTACACACTCTAAACGTTCTGACTCGTAACAAGACGTTTCTTGTTAAAAACGTCAAAACTCCTTTACTTTTCTCGTTTTCTTTTATATGTTCTTGTTTCCAACATTGATTTGCTTACTCTGAATTTTCCCTATACATGACATTATTATTTTACTTAAGAATTTAAAATTGCATACTACAGTGTTAAAAATCTTATACTATGCTAATATGGAAGTTATTTGATACAGTCTCAGCTATTTACTACAACTGGTACCACAAGATGGCAAATTTAGAAAGACAAAAAAGAATAATTACTTCTAATGCGTCCGAATATCTGCCATAGTGTACCCATCTTATTTGTTGCTCTTATCAAGGAGTCGATAAAAAAGCATGTAAGCGTTGGCCTTACCGCCAAATGTACTTTTAATTACTCCTGGATTGACCTGTTAAATAATATTTGATTTTAATCATGATGTATACAAACAATGCTAAATACATACTCGAGACACGACGTGGTCATTAAACTCGAACCATTTATTTGTTTTTAATACTTTTACATAAGCAAAATAGTGTCCGAAATTTGCCGACCCTCTATGAACAATTACACTATATAGTTCATAAATCATAGTTTGATCTTCGAACGGCATTTTCAAGAAAAATGGAAACGTTACTCTGAGTTACATATATGAAATCATCACAATAGTTCATCACAACTCAATTATTATAAATGTTACACACCTATCATTTATTTTTTTTGTTCTCAAAGTTTTCATGTCTAATATGGTCCGACCCAAGTGGAAGCACAAAACTAATGGCAATTTTGTCCACCGATAACCTTTAATTGCAAAGCACTTTTTTTCACAAAACCCACAAAAGTACGCATTTTCTCCTTCTAAAAACTCTGGCTGTAAGCTACCGTCAATAGCACTTTCCTGAAAGCCACATATTAATTAATTATTGTAGAATATTACACTTACTAATTAACTTTATTAGTAATTATAAACAAGATAAATAAATATACGGTTGATAAATACATACCAATGAACCATATGATCTAGTGGCACCAAACGGACGGATCGGTAACGATATATCCAAAAATGTGGAAAACTTTTCCACAGTATTGTTACACATGGTACACGTGATATAGTCAGTCTGAATACCTATTACATGTTAATGTAAGTTATTGTACATAGCTTAAGATGTATTTTTTTTTATATATTTTTAGCTTCGAACACATTTTATTTACCTTGAAAGAAATCTTCAATGCTATTGGAGGACGTGGAAGTTTGCAACTGTTTGCTTAAAACTCCCAAGAGATACCGGCTAAACTCTTGAGCGTCTTGTTGAATTTTTAAGTACTTTTGCGTCCAACCAAAACTATTGGTTAGCTCGTTTGTTTCTACTGCTGATGTTTTTCTTTCAAGTAATCTAAGAAAAAGATTCCGGAGCTGTTGTCCAACGTTGTAGCTTATGTCGTCACCGGTACAACGATCATGAGCCATGTTCAAAATGACGTTCCGGAATTCCGGTGTGTGAAACAACACTTGGATATAAGCATTCAAGTAGCAGGTGGCGCCTTGGTTTTTTAGACCGCGGCCCACTAAAAATATTACATACACTAAGTCATAAATAATTATGAAATTAATATAAAAATAAAATTTTGATTACCTTGCGACACACGACTTATCGTTGGAAAAGTAAGGAGAGTTTTCTTTTTCAACACTGTAACATGTTTTTTAACACCAGAGTCATTGTTTTGTGGCGTTTTCACAATTTTATTTGTGTATCCGATTGTTGGCACATAATTTAGCTTTATTTTCCATAAAAAAACCTAATATATTATAACAAATCAGAATTCGTTTTCGATTTTTTTAAGATATTCATGTTTAAGTCTTACGTTGACAACTAAATTGTAAATTTTTTCTTTATGACGGATTTCGTTTGAGAAAAAAAGATAACCATTATAAAAATTATTCAACGTTAATTGAAGTATTGCGTTTTTCAAAACGTCAGAAAGCAGTACTCCATGTGTATTTAACTCTTTACAAATTTGTGGATTTACAAAATGTTGAAGAGGTTCATAGACTTCCTCTTCATCTAATTCGTCAGGAGTAGATTTGACACAGCATAAACACAGTTCAAACTTTCTTTTTATGTGTTGTTTGCAAAAATTCCATACTGACATACTCTTTTGTTGGGATTTCGTTTGACGGACCTTTACTTCGGAATTACCATAAGCTAATAAAATCGAAAAAAATGTAATTTGAGAAGATCTTATCTAGAACTCTAATAAAGTTTAAATACTTACATTTTTTTAGAGAGATTTTCTTAATATTTGCCCAGGTTTTTTTCCAAAACCCAACTGACGGGTTGTTTGTCATGGAATTTGTAATATTTCCACTTTTATTCATTTTATTTTAAATAATATATTTCAAATTGTATAAAAAAGTAATATATAATAATAACAATATACAACTTATTATAAAGATATATATATATAAACAATATGTTAATTTTAAAACGTAAGAAATTCAAGTACAAAAATAGCTTTTTTAATTGTACGTGAATGCTTTATTAGCTTTATGAAACAAATTAAAATTATTTTCGTATTAAAAATCAATTGTTTATTTTTAAATTGCCAAGGATTTTATGTGTAATATTAGAAACACATGATTTTATTTAAAAATTTTCAATTTAATTTAAACATATTTTGATTTACTTTTAAATTTAATGAACTATAATTTCAATAAATGCGTGTTTAAAATGTATCTTTTTAATTATTATTATCTTTCTTTAGCATGTAATAATAGGGTTTACCTTTGGGATTTATTAGATGATAATAAATTATGTTTCAATATTAACTACCTTGTTACTATAATTTTAGCATATTTCTTATAATAAAAATCGATGTCACTTAATTACACCACTCAATTTTCTAGGATAGTAACTAATTTTAAGTGCAAAATCTAATAACCTTCCATTTAGTTACACTTTTTGAACTATAACTGTATCTTTTTGAATCAATCTAGTAGTTTTATTTTTTATTTGATATCGTTAAAAGTATTAAAACTTAAGAAATGATGTAAGTATTCATTTTAAATCCAAATATTAAAAGTAATTCGTTAAAGTAAATTAGTTATACAATTTTTATGTTCAATAAGTCCTTAATTATTCGATAATTACAAGGGTTATCCTACAAATTGTTTATATAAAATTATGTTTACCAGTTTTTAAATTTCATGTCATTTTATTTCAAGTAATTTCTTCATGAAATATAATTTTTCTTTTTATCTCTTTTACTAGAGTAATACTGACACAAAAATAATAAGTTTGGTATCAATACACGACCTTTGTATTTTATTAACAACATATTGATATTTTTATAAAATACTTATACAGTAAGTATGAATTCATCATATGTAGGTGTCCTTACAAATTTTGTTGGCTCCCTAAATTTAAAAATATAAAAACTTTAAATTGTCAATCTATTTCAATTTAGTCTGTCAGAAGAATATGTTTTAATTTTTTTTTAATTGTTGTGTCTTTTAGAAATAAATTTGTTAATAAAATGCTCAAATAACATTCTATACACTGTAGTTGTTTTTAAAATACTCATATTTTATATATTCGCAGTAATATAATATAGAAACCTTTAATAATACCTTTGTCATTTATTAAAAAGATATTGATAGTGAGACATAATATACACTCATATTTTGTCTATTTTACACAAATTCATTTAATCCTTGTAAATATATAATAAATAACAATAAATTTGATTTAATAAAAATATAATGTCTATAATATACATGTGCATTTTACAGTTATTATATTTATTTATGATTCTATTTTAGAAAATAAAAATGTACATTTATAAATGTTCTGCTAATAAACTATTTTAACATAGATATTATCTCATGTATTTCTACATTTCGTAAAAATTGTACAATATATAAAAAATAATTCCTTAATTCTTTAAATATCTTTAAAAGTTTTAGAGATAATCATTGTTTTATTTTTTTAACAATAATGGATTCTTGTTGAGTTGCTTTCTATGAAAACTTAATTGTCTGCTATCATTCCATAATCCCTAAACTCTTATATTCTTTAGATTTTCAAATGTCAACTCGATTACAGCTGTTTAAATGTTTCTGTGGCCCCCCAAATGTGTTTTTTTACGATATCTCGGAGAGTAAGTGTGTACAAACGACAGGACCTTGTGCATATTTCTGCATGAACGATGCACAAACGAATGGCGTAGTAAAAACTACAAAATTAAAAAAAGGGGGGCTGGAGAAATGGTCGCTGTTTAAAGTTAAGGATCAGAAAAAACGGTAGAACAGTGAGGTCGTGGCATAGTTGACACAAGTTCAAATGATATTTGGCAATGATTAAAATCACCGTCATAAGAAACGTTTCGATGCAAATCAGTAGATAATGTTTAATTTTTAATTGGTGGGTTATTTCAAAAGTAAGGAGAGTAATATCTTTAATTAGGCACTATTAGTTGTGATCACTGGATCACAATACGTATTGTTAAAAAAAACGGTCAAATGAGAGCTAAGAAAAAGTAGCAACAGACATAAAAAATTTATACTTCCTCAGCTAAAACGTATACTTATTTTAAAAGACGACAACATTATCGTGTTACCTATAATAAATAACAAAGACATTTTTATTGTTTACAATTTTTATAATATTTATTTTTTAACGATAAATTCGATGGTGTATATAGATTTTACATATGACAATTGTATAATTGATTATTTATACATTATTTGTATGTATAATTATAAAGAAAGGTTCACAAGCGATTTGTTGAATAAGCTTTAATATTTATACCCGTTAACTTACCGAGAATTTAGTAATAGCTATTTATCGACAGATATAAGTTTTAACAACGTTAAAATGGTGGCTAAAGGATAACGTGTTCACCCATCCCTAATAATCAGGTGACAACTAATTTTTACTGAAAGTATTGATGAGCCTTTTTGCTCATCATTATTACGAAAGAAAATATTTTTTTATGCCATCATAAATTAAACTCGTTTTTATCTGACCAGGATCTCAGCAGGTTGATTCTGTGTCGGCGGGAACTCCGTCAAATCGCCAAATGATTAAAATTACCAATTATTGCCGGCCAGCTAGGAGATCTTTATTATTAATGTGACATTCGAGACCGACGCAATCAAACGTTAGTTTATTCAAACACCAGATAAAATAGTAACGATAGTTTCGTGTACAAAAACAATGAATAACGATGCGCCCCATAAAATCAAATTTAATGACAGACAGTGTTATACAGCTAAACGACATCAATGATAAAGCCATTCCGGTGGTGACCGAATATATTGTAAGCGTCCCCGCGCTACCCATAAGGTAATCCTGATTGGACAGGTCACGCTCGCAGCGCCGAACAGGGATTGTTCATTAGTAAGGAATAGGTATTTACTGTTCCAATTGTTTGTAACAATCGACCTGTTCCTTTAATAATCTGTTTAAGGCCTCTTAATCATTTTCATTTTTCTTTACTTGTATAATGTTAGGTTTTTCTAGGAACAGATCTAGTAGCAGACTGTAATTATTCGGATACTCAATTAATTACTCGGTCAGTTGATATTTATAAAGTATACAATTTACATTTATGGTTTATATTATTTTATTAATAGTAACTGTTCCAAGTTATTGCAAATAGTGACGAGTGTAAAATAGTGTATAATACCAATATGTTCATAATTTTAAACAATTTTTTATTATGTATCATGGCGAAGTCGGTTGACAACCATCGTGCTAAGACAGCATTCGAAATTACAAAAGTCATTAATCTTTCAAATATAATGATAATACACATAATTATGGCCTTTTATAAAATTTAAATTTAACGAACTCGTATTGAATCAAAATATCAAATGGAATAAAATAAAATCATCGTAATTTGTTCTATATTTTGGTTAAAAATCATTTATTTTAATACTCAGTACCTATCAATTTTTATTTTTAAATATTTAAAATTCTAATTTTATGACGTATGTGATTTCTAAAATGATCAGTTCAATTATTACTAATACCGAGTAAACAATTAAAAACAAAGTTTTATTTTTATAGGCTATGGTATAATGGTTGATAAACGAAGCACAAAGATTCATAGTAATTTAACCTACAGTTACAAAATGATTTTTAAAATTACATTAGATTTACATTGAGTTTTGAGATTTTATTTATTTTCAAACGCGTTTCTTTTAATTTTACATATCTTTTAACTGTATAAAAATAGAAATTGTTCAATTCATAGAATTTCTATTATACTTAGTAAAATATTTTGTTGGACAGTAGTTTGTCGAATTTGTGTAAATTGTATAGTTTTTACTTAGTAAAATGTTTTTTAATAAAATAAAATTATATTTTAGTAGTTGGGAAATTGTTTATTTTTGATCCTACTTCTTTAATATTAAGTATGTTGCACATAGTAACAACAATAAGTCGTGTGATTAAATTAACAATATGAAATACATTGTAAGGGCTAGTGGGTATATTTCGGCGCATGATGTCTCGTTTTCAATCCTCAGGGTGCCAACGAGACTTTTCTTGTGATTTTCTGTGAAGTCTGGTCTCTGGTGCAAGCCGTCTATTATATCCGTCATGTCCATCATTGGCTTAGCCATGAACCATTTTTGACTCTCTAACATGTGAAGAAGGCCACCAACCTCTGAGCATGTCAAATTCGGGAAATAGAAAGATGTAAAACTGATCTTTCTTTTTTCCATTTATATAAATAAATGTAATACCCATAAATTTTATTATTTAAATATAACATAATATAATAAATTATAAAAATCATTATTTTTATTGACATATATGTATATAATTGTGTTAATTAAAATAAATATTCCATATTGAAAATCAAATTGTATGAATTTAAAATTCAAAATATTCTTTATATTATTATAATAAATTGCAAAAAATTGTGGAACGTAAACGGTTATCAAATGTACACGTTTATCGAGCAATAAAATTATGACCGTGTATTTAATAAAACGATTAAGTCCGTTTAACAAACGTTTACATTCAATAGAATTTTGACTGTATACCTAATAAAACAACAGAATTCGTTTGTCACGACCAAACGTCATACTTTCTTTTATTTTTAGATCCACTGTAAAGAAGTTTCAATTCAAAAAAGTTTTAACACAAAAATAGCATGTTTTTTTTAAATATGGTAGCCATTTGTCTAGAAGATAGGTGCTCATCGGAACAATTTTTTTTTTTTAATTTATAGTACGTAATATAAGCTTTAATTTAATGTATGTTTAAAGGACGCAGTATTTCCGGAACATTAGTCGAAGAAAATACATTATACTCAAAAATTGAAAAAAAATTCCCTTGTTCCGCAAAT